TTGTAACTAACTCCTCAGAGCAGAGTCCTGCAGTATCTAGCAATGGTTCACACAGCAAAAGAAGAAAACTCATTTTATTGAACCCAAAAATTAATTACCGTGATCACAAGATCCCACCAGGGGTACTCATTTTTTAATCTAATGTTTCTAGTTCACACCCTCGTATTCTGTTTCCTTAAGATTCAGTTTAATATTATTCTCCCAACTTCGCTTATGTTTTCCGACTGGTATCTTTCTTTCAGGCTTCCCAATCAAAAGTTTATACACATTTCTATTCTATTCTACAGCCTTGGCCAGTCCCACTGATGTTTCTTCGTTTGACACTCGCAGTAATATTCAACAAGAAGCACCGTTACTGGTCGTTAGGTTCTGCAAATTTTACTTGGGCACATTTTTACCTTTCGCCTCTTATGACACGATTTGTCACTATCGGAGAGGATTCCCTGTTTAAACCGCTGTGACCTCTGGAGCGAGTTCGGTCTGGTCCACTTGACGCCCGGGGATCACAAGCAAGTAGCGAATATCAGGGTTAGTTACTCCTCCCTACAGGAGCTCCAACCCTCAGCTAATCAAGAAATTCCCCTCCCTTAACGCAACCCGAAGGTTCATTACCGTGTTCTAAATGCCCTGGTCTCTACCCTGAACCACATTAATTCAGTCCCAACCCTCACGCTCGGCGTCATCAGTAGCCATCCCATTTCAATAGTTATTTCTCGACTAAATTTTGTATGCAGTCCTGACATGCGCATTATGCCAGTCACAGTAACCGGGCGGTCTAAGGCATGTACTCTCTTTGCTCGCTCGGAAGCCGGGATCGTGGGTTCGGATCTGTTTCCTGTGAGGTACGAACTGAATTCTTATATATTATTCTTATACACTGCCGGTCACGGTAGCCGAGCGGTCTAAGGCATGCACTGTGTTCGCTCGCTCGGATCCGGGATCGTGGGTGTTTAGTGTGTGTATATGTTTATTCCATGTTTGTGTTGTCGTCTTCTTAGGCAGAGGCTTTGAACGAGCTGATCACCCGTCCAAGGAGTCCTACCGTCTTTAAAAATGATCAACGAAACTGAGAAATCAGCCCAATGCTCCAAAGCGGGAGCAAAAGGAGAGAGAAAGAAAACATGCGCATTACACGTCCGCGCACTTCTCAATACGCATCAGTAGCAGCTCTGTAGCCACAGGTATAGTTTCGTGGCGATTACGTTTATCCCCTGCCGCTGCAAAAATACGAGCAAGGTCTTGTGTCAACCTTTGTTTCATATATCAAGCCCCAGAGAAAGTTATTGGCAGGGTTAAGGTCTGGAGACCTCGGTAGTTTTATCTGGAGTCCACTGCCATCTATCCAAAGATTTGACAGCATCCGTGTAAATGTCTCTCCCCCCCCCACACACACACACACAAACACATCTAGTGTACTTAGATGGAGCTCTGTGGTGTTGGAAATGCATCATACATCCCGTTATTAACGAGACTTCTGCTGAGAGATCTGGAAATTCATTTGTCTAAACCATTTCATGAACGTTTCCCCTCAGGTGATGAGCGGAAGTGAACAGTCCAATTGACTGGTTACTGACTAAACTGACCCACGATAAGTGATGATAGGCGCAGTTTAGATTGGTAATCATATTAATGCAACGCATTAATACATTTTACAGTTCTCTGTTACACATACACTAGTATTCACAATCATGGCTTTATTTCCGTTGCTTGTTCGCGGCTTCCAACGGCAGATGTTTTTTTCCTCTGGGTTCCCGAATTTTCCCTGGCATCAACTACAAACCTCTAATAACAACAGCTCACAACGAATGAACCACAGCATATCTCAACTAATTCGCTTCTTTTATGTCCTGCTTATAACATTTCGGCACGGACGGCACAGAAAACGCATTTCCTTTGTTGGTGTTTACTTGCCCCTGCCTAGTAAAGACAGTTGTATATTTGCTCGTTTCGCGGTCCTTGCCTAGCAACAGGACTACATACCATAAAACTTTAATTCAGAGTCACTTCTGAAACTAATTTTTCAAACCAAATTTGTGCTTCAATTGAGCGATCACACCGACGAGCTAATGAGACTGCTATGTGTAGAAATTGTTGCTCAAAACTCTCGTAACATGCATAAGATACCGCCGGACATACAAGTATATCCATATCTACACGAGGGCATCAGACGTAGGGTTGTTGCGTGCGCAACGGGAGAGAAACATTCTGAGATCGAGGGTTTTCATTGTGGAATGCTAACAACACTGTCAGGACCCAGACCATACCGAGTCGATTGGTAGAATGACTGGTGAGTGACAAGTTGAGCAGATGCGGTCGTAACCTAATCGAGGTAATCTCTCTGAAAATGCCTAGAAGAACTGAGGAAGACCACGAAATACTTCACTCAAATTGAAGCGAACGTCTTCCTATACGAGTGAAATCACTCGGTATAAAGGACTTGATTCGATGACAAAACTGTCACATGATATGTGTGTGATCGTAGACGGGGTTCGGTTTGCTTACTGAATTTATTGATCTGTTATACACTCAGGACTCGTGACTACATTTTACAGGTCACTAACACACAGACTAATGTCTTCAGTCTATTACAATCTCCATTAACCGTTTCCTGGCAACGGATGTTAACACAGGATCTATTAACAGCCTCACTGAATTACACACTCTAAATATCATTGTACTACAACACATAATTCTCCTCTTCAGCGCCTGACTTTCAACTAAACTCTAAAACTCGTCTCGCTTATAACCTCTCGGCACGGATCACACAGAAAACACCATTCCTCTGTTGCTGTATCATTGTTATGTTTGTATCTGTTGCTATGGGGAGGTGTTTACCGAGCCATTACCCAGAAACGGCTGTGGTATATATCTGCCTATCTCGCGGTCGTTGCATAGCAACTGCTTTACATACTACAATAGTAAAAAGGATCAAATAGTAACAGAATGTGAAAGTGTGATTTGGTTTGAACCAGTTCAGCATAAATTCAAGTTGTAGGCTTTTGTGAATGCGATGATGGGCCTTAGGGTCTCTTGAAGCAAGTAAATTTCTTTAGCGTCTAAATGAGTGCCAGATTTCTATGGAACACTTTGTGTGATAGAAAATGCTGTTCGATGTGTAGACGGATGATGAAGTGTTAAGTGTTGATGTACGGAAGGACGGGCTGGTGGGTCAATTCTAGGGGGCGGTTCATAACGCGAAAATTGGTAAAATATAAAATTCTCTCTGGGCCTGATTCATTAAGCATCACGCCATGAAGAAGTATTGGAGAGTGGAGGTGTAGCTCCACCATTCTTGATCTCAGCATTAGATGGACGTGAGTGGTCAGCTTCATGCCCCGGTCGCTTTATCCCCGGAGAAATAGCCCCCGATACTCTTTGGATAGGAAGATGGTGGACCCCAGAGCCGGCCTTGACTTTATGAAGAAATATCTCTTTCCTGTACCAGGAATCGAACCCCCGCTCCTCAGTTTCAGCTCGTAACGCAGTCGCCTTACCGACTGAGCTCTTCTTGCGCTTCGTAACGCGAAACGGAGGCTGTTCGAAGTACAAGGTGCACTTAGAGCTGCTGCAGTCACGTCGGAGCCCATTTTCCGCTCATGACCTAGATTTTTGTGGCGGTGACCTTGCTGTCTCCCCAACTCTGCACCGCGTCAGCTTCAGTACATACCATAAAGTAGTTCTTACCATCAAGGAACGATTATGATGACATCCCCTGTATAAACATTTAAGGCTATACGCAACACACACGTGTCAGAGAAGTTTCCTATATTGGAAGGCGTTAAATGTCTTTGAAGCTGTGATCGGGAAGACAGACAGGTTTATGGAGTTCTTACTGCCAGTATGAAACAAAGTTCTTGAAACAATTTGTGTTAATAGCTGGTGGTTTATAAAGCTAAAGAATACGTCAAGCTCCGCGCATCTATGAAAAACATTCGTCAAATTATTTATTTATGCATGGATTTTTTTTAAGATCGTTTGTTTATTACTTAACGATAATGTACTTTGATTACAGAGGGGAGAATAAAAACGTATGAAATCAGGACACATCAAAGGAAAAGACCACATGCGAGACGTGGACTTAGGTGGCAGGATAATATTAAAAATCTATGTCATTAAATAAATCATGAAGATGTGGACTGCATCTTACGGTCTCTGGAGGACATAAAATGGCCAAATTTTCTGTAAATTTTAATGAACCTTGGGTCTATAAAATCATTTGAATGTCTTTGATCTTACTTATGGAGCTGAGCCCTTCTTGAGTGGAAGCAAATTCTGCAGCTACTCAAGAATTTCGTAGCATTTTATGGAACCCGAAGGTTCATTACAATGTTCACAAGAGCCCTCCACTGGTGCCTATCCTGAGCCAGATTAATCCAATCCATACCATCCCATCCTATCTCTCTAAGATCCATTTTAATATATTACGCCCACTTACGCCTTTGTCTTCCAAGTGGTATCTTTCCTTCTGGCTTTCCCACCAATATCTTATATGCATTCCTCTTCTCTCTCATTCGTGCTACATGCCCTGTCGACCTTATCCTCCTTGACTTGATCATTCTAATTATTGTTGGAGAAGAGTACAGGTTATGAAGCTCCTTTGCATTTCTTTGATTAGCTGAATAAAAAATGCGATCACATTTGACCGTAGAATTTGTACCATTAGGACGAGAGAACTATCTGTGCATAGCAACACTTTGACACGAATTTGGAGGTCTCCGAATACCCAGAATTCTGTTCCAAGCAACTGTGTCCCATTTATTTATAGTTTTGTCTCTGTCTCGCCGCACGGATATTCCTTGCATACATTTTCTTGGCATCTACACCAGTTGATCCCAATTATACTTCACTTTACTTGGCATGCTTCATCCTCTGATATGAATTGAATTTTAAACGGGAAAATCTAAATATGCCAGCCCTGTAATTCTCTTTGTTATCAATTCGCAGCAGAACCAAAGCTTAATTAAGTACATGTGGAGAGACGAGCGTAATGTTTTTATTTCGAACTGAAGCCTGCTTTTATTCGAAAGTGAAACAAAAACTCGTAACTTCAGAGTACAAATATGCGAGTACTTACAGTAGTTAGTGTAATACTGTATATTTGCCTACTAATGTAACTTAACGAGTGTTCCCATACAGAAAGTCTACATTGTAACTCCCTAAATTACTTTTCTTATACAAGACTCCATAATCCAAACACGGGAGAGACTGAGGATCCCCACGAAGGACCTTAGAGCAGCAGGTGTCACGACGGAAATTCGAACCAAGCACCTTACGAATAGGAGGGTCATTGTTTCGAAGTAACTTACCGCCACCATTCTTAGCATAGATCAATATTTTTGATCTTATTCCTTGAATATACAGGAAGGAAATTTACCGGAAACTTTAATAATTATCTACAAGACTGCACGATGTCATATCTGAGAAAACATAACCTTGCAAAGCAAATATATCCCGGACAATTAACGGATGTGGTTGCAGGGTCTGAGGTTCTGACACCGGTGGTTACAAAGAGTCCTATCTTCTGGAATGTAACGTCATGTAGTCCGTTGAAAATTAGCCGACGTTGCGGAGGAACATGTCCCATATTCAGGGTAGGTGAACGAACCTCTGCGTTCACGTTGGTTTCTTGTTCGGCATATTCTTCGACCCTGAAGATAGAGACGATATTTCCCTCCGATATATTGTTGACTCTGAATGGACTGCTTGGCTGTCCTCGTCCTCAGCATATGTACATGCGCATTGTGTTAAGGCGCAGTTTTCTGTAACAACCAATTCATAAAGAGTTAAGTTGGAGATGAAGGGGTAAATGTACTTATGCCTCTCCCACCGAACTTATTAAGGGCCTGAGTCCGGTGCCACTGCCAAGCGTTTCGCGGGACAAATATAAATAACCCACACGTACACAAGCCAAAGTAACCCTTGCATTTGTGACTGAATCGCTACAGGCGCCCGCTGCCCATTGCTTCTTTTCATTATGTCTTGAAAAAAGCCTCTTTGGCACACGGTTGCATAGTTGATTGAGGCATTCTGCTACACGCCGGAAGGTCGGAGGTTCGAGTCCCTATGAGGTCATTACATTTCTTCAATTTACTTAATCTTTCCAGCCGCACTACGGCCCTGGGGTCGACTCAGCCTCTAACAGCAATGAATACCAGGAATTTTAATGGGGGCAAAGGGCGGCCGGCGCGTAAAGCTGACAAACTCACCGCCATCTATGAGCCGATTGTCCAGAAAATGTGGGAGCCTCGACGTCTTACAAATTTATGGACCTCCGCGGCCTGTTACAGGGATAACTTTACCTTTTCTATTTTAAATTAACAAATTCTCTTAAATGTGACTTTGTTTTCTGTACTCTGTTGGCTACGAACTAGCACGAGTAGACAAAATGACGGGAAGTTGCATAACGCGGAGAAGGTTAAGTTGTCCCTGTGCTTAATTAATTAACCACAGCGCCACGAAGACGTGTTGGGGAGTAGAGGTATAGCTCCACCATTTTTGACGTCGGCATTAGAAGGAGGTGAGTGGTCAACTTAACGCCCCTGCCGCTTCAACCTCGTACCCAATAAACAGGAAGCTCTGCCACTCGATACATGCTGCAATTCCTCGGTGAAACCGAGACCAAAATATCCCATGATAACATTTCTATTGACGTATGATTTTCATGGAAAATGCTATTACGAATGAACGCGCTGTGCAACTTCGTATTTCTGACCCAAAATCCTCGTTTTTCACGAAGACTGTGTAAAGTTCAATTAAAGTTGCCACTCAAACAAAAAAAAAAACTCCGTGGCCTGTTGTTCGCAAGCGAACTATACCAACCGAGCGACCGCCGCTTGTCGGTGAAGTTAGTGCCAATATTTGCTGACAGAGGGTGTTTCGTGGTCAGCGCAACGGATCCCCACGACCGTTAATCTCGGTTTTCTAGACCGGAGCCACTATTTCCTGAAATAGCTCCTCAATTATCGTCACGAAGCTGAGTGGACCCCTTTCCAGAACCACTACTTCTCGGAAAATCTGGTAGCACCGGGAATCGAACCCGGGTTCTCTGGATCTGTAGCCATGAACTCTGACCATTAGACCACAAAGGTTGTCCCTCTGCTTAATTAATTAAGTACTACGCCATGAAAGCGTATGGGGGAGTGGATTTATAGATCCATATTTTCTTGACCTCGGTACTAGTTGGAAGTGAGTGGTCAGCATCACGCTCCAGCCCCAGGTACCCATTGTATAGGAGGCTGGGTGGACCCTAGAGTCATCTGGACGACATGGAGAAGTAAAAATTCTTGACCCTACCTGGACTGGAACTCCGACCTCTCGGTTGTCCACCACGTAGCCAGTCGCTATACTGCCTACCATTCGGTAGAAAGTTTGCCAAAGGACATTTTGATCTCAATGTCCACGAAGGACCTGCATTACGAACTCCCCAGGCATGAAACTTCCGACACACTGTATATTACTTGAGTCTTACGATATGCCCCCTATCACTTGAGACTTAGGATATGCCCCCTATCACTTGAGACTTAGGATATGCCCCCTATCACTTGAGACTCCTCCAAGATCAGTAAAACCTCCCTTCATTTTCGAGATCCTTTTTAAAAGTTTAGTAGCGTAAAATACGTAGTTTGCTGCGGGTAGCTGTTAGCTCTGCGACAAACGTCCAGAGTGGAAAACCATTCCTCGTCAGCGTCGACTGCCCATGACAGCTCATTCAGTACATCAGCGTCTACCCCCTCCACTCCCCATCGGAATGAGAAACTTTGTGGTTTATACGCCCACAGATTTTGCTTTGGTCCGGACAGTGAAATCAAGGATTTATACGATGTTTCACTGACAAGCGCGTGCTTTATACCTTGTCACAATTTTCATTTCTACAGATAAGGTCGCCGCTACATGTTTCGACCAATATCTTGCCATCATCATGTGGACATACACATAAAAACTAAAAACCAGTAAAGTAGCTCTATTCTGCAAGAGTTATCATGCAAAGTTTTTAAATATTTTCTTAATGTTATTTAACGACGCGCTCAGTATCAAGAATTATCAGGGGAAACCAAAGTACTCGGACAAAACAGGACCTAATATCACTTTGTTCATCATAAATCCTACTTGACCTGGGATTAGTACCCAGACCACCGCAGTGAGAATCCTGCGACACCACCAGAATTACGGCATTGACAGTATGACCAATCGTGTTCAAGTGTGATCCGTCGTGGATTTTTATATATTTAAATATGAAACGAATGAAATTTATTTTTATAAAATCGCAAGACGACCTGGACTTGGGTCACAATTGGACGTAAGAACTATTATAGATTTGAGATTTCTTTTACGGTTTCCATTTATTGCGGATGTTAAGATTCTTTGGGGACATATCGCCACTCCCCAGTACGGTTTCATGACACGGCGCTCAATTAATTAATTACAGGGACAGTTTTACTTTAGAGTTTTGTAGAAATGTTATCATGGGATATTTTCGTCTCAGTTCTCGCCAAGGAACAGCAGCATATCGAGTGGCAGAGCTTCCTGTTTATTGGGTACGAGGTTGAAGCGGCAGGGGCATGAAGTTGATCACTCACCTCCTTCTAGTGCCGACGTCAAAAATGGTGGAGCTATACCTCTACTCCCCAACACGTCTTCGTGGCGCTGTGGTTAATTAATTAAGCACAGGGACAACTTAACTTCCGCGTGGTGCAGCTTCCCGTCATTTTGTCTACTCGTGCTAGTTCGTTTTGTAGTTTTCGTGTAACTTTATGTGTGTGCCTAACTTGTTATGATCTTTTAAGGAACAAATGCTGTAGTGATTATGACATCTGTACAGACAAAGCTTATGAGATGATGTGCAGTCTTAAGCCGTGAAGTCAGTAAGAGAGTAATGGATTGAGTGTGTAGCCAGGGTGGGGAGAGATTCTAGATCCATGCAGAATTTTAGTGAGATGTCCTTGAAAATATTCACTTGCAAAACCAAGGAGTAGATGGAAAGATAACTTGAGTTTCGAGGGCTTCATGGCGGCATACGACGGCGTGTTGTGTGGCTCTGTAAATGGACACAGTGCGTTCCTTCGAAACGTCCGTCATATTTCAGACGATAGTACATTTCTACAGATTGCCTCATATTCAGTGCGATACAGTATCATGAAATTTTAAAATGTAATTTAGACAAACTTAAATAGACCCGTCATATGCATCTAGTGTTAAGAAAGAAATTTTTCCTTTTGCTGGCTTTTGGTTGCAAGGACTGGTAGTGGTGTAACCCACACAGATACTCGCCGGCCGCTCGCATCGTGAATTCGGGGATCCACCTCAGGGTAAGCTATATGGGATTTGTGGTAGATAAATGACATTGTGTCAGGTTTTCACTGTGCTCTTCTGTTGACCCATGCCTGCTATCCTTCCACTAACTCTCCATTCTCATCTATCATCATGGGCTGGTACGTCGGCCCATATGAGGCCGAAGTACCAAGGGATTCTCTATTTTCTCATTTCGAGTTATTTTACGAAACTCTCAGTGTCTAGGTTGTCTAGCGCCGGCTGATAGGATAAACGATTGATACTGAACTGGAGTGAAGCGACTGTGGCGCGGTACTAACATTGAGTTTGCCTAGAAGGCGCGAAGACACCCAGTAACAGCCTCAATCACTATGTAAGGTCTAAAAGTAGTTTGTAACAATGCTACATTAATATAAATATTATATTTCTTGACATTATCAATCGTAATGTTTTTGTTTAAAAAAGAAAGTAACAGAGAATGGGTTCTGTCTCCATCTTCAGGTAAAAACTACTCCGTTGTGACCAATCGATAAGGCTAATCCCCATCTTCGGAGCAGTGTCTCGGCCGTAATTCGAACCGAGACCCTCCCTGATACAAGTCCGGAGATTTCCTGGCAGACAAACCTGTTGGTTCATTCAGTCTCATCCCATCCTTAAAATAATAATAATAATAATAATAATAATAATAATAATATTGATTACCACTCGTACTAATTTTCCGTTTCTCTGTTCCCACGTTGAATTGTAATCACGTGATTGCGTTTCTTCTGTCGGATTGCAGGGAAAAGATGCGTTTTTCATAATGTGATGAATGTTTCATGTTTTTTTTAATATAATAAATTTATGTGTTTGGTTTATCATTCGCCTGTTCACTAAACGTAACAACCTTCTTTCATTTTTCCCTTCCTGTCACATATTCAAGGCGCTCCTTTGTTTCTGCTCTCTTTGTCCTTATTCCTTCTCACATTCTCTTTATACTTTTCCACATTTCAGTTATTCACACGTCCCTTATAAACATTTATTCCTTATATTTTAAGAAAGCTATCGCTTTAAAAGGAAATAAATTTCTGGCTTTCATTCCAAGTATATTTACGCCCTTCGATTCGTTTAGCCCTCGAAGCAGTTTTTATTATACTCTGAAATGCGAAATGTGTTTGACCTTGAATTGTGTACACACTAAAACGGAATGACCATAGAAATATCTACCAAACTCGAAGCAAATTATGCACTGAAAATACATGATATCTCTCACAAACTCTCATATGAGATGTGTTCTCAGAACGTCACATTGGGACACGAAGAGACGCTGGTTGAATGTTCAAGCTTTTGTTATATTGGAAAAGCATTATTAAACTGGCATATGCAGCTGGTGTCCTCCCGTTGTCCCTCCTCTCTATGCTGACGTTTAAAGCTGGCCTCCTGTTCCATACTTACATGGTTGCCACAGCCTTCTCAATACAGTTCTCTGCGTTAATATCTGATAAATAATTTG